GTGTCTGGGATGCCCATTGATCGATTCTTGCCCATCGTGTATCCGCTGCGCTACTCGGTGCTCATGAGCCCCCGTGCCTGTGGGCTGCTGGTGGGAGGGCCGTGGGTGGTCACCAACCTCCAGTCCCTCGTCCACACCTGCCTCATGGCTCAGCTGACCTTCTGCGACGGCTCCAAAATCCCCCACTTCTTCTGCGACCTCATGCCCCTGCTCAAGCTGTCCTGCTCCGACACGCACACCAACGAGCTGGTCATCTTCGCTTTTGGCATCCTCATGGGCGTCAGCCCCCTCTCCTGCATCCTCCTGTCATACGTTTGCATTTTCCGGGCGGTCTTTAAGATCCCTTCGGCTCAGGGCAAATGGAGAGCCTTCTCCACCTGTGGTTCACACCTCACCGTGGTGTCCCTGTTCTACGGGACCATCTTCGCTGTATACCTACAGCCAGCGTCCCCCGCCTCCTCCCAGAAGGACAAGGCGGCCGCACTGATGTGCGGGGTGATCATCCCCATGCTGAACCCCTTCATCTACAGCTTGAGGAACAGGGACATGAAGGCAGCGCTGAAGAAGCTGGTCAGCAAAGCAGCCTGCTCCGGGGCGTAGGGCAGAACAGTTACGGGACACTCACTGTGTTCCCGGACCTCTGCCGGGCCGTGTGGACACAGAAATGGGCCCCATCCCTGTCCTCAAGGAGTTCAGGTCTAGTGGGGGCTAGACACCTAAATAGGGGTCTTTTTTTTTTTTTTTTTGAGAGGTTTTTGTTATAGGGTGCGTGCGCTCACCAGACAGAGAGAGACAGAGAGATAGAAAGCGAAAAATCACCCCCCAGGGGGGATGGCCACGCCGCAATCCCTTCTCCTCCATTCTCCTCTCGAGCCCTCCTCCTCCATTCTCCTCTCGGGATCTTGGGCACACACACACGCACCCGGCATGAGTTTAACCCACCGGGTCCGAGACGCGAACTGCGGTCAACTATGTGGCTGTCCAGCGACATAGCCATTACCTAACTGCTGGTCCCCTAAATAGGGGTCTTCAAAAATAGTGTGCAAAGTGCATATTATTAAAACACTACGTGGCGAGGACCCACAAATGGTATAATGGTTGTATCACTGGACGCTTATGTAGTTGACTGTGGGCCAAGTCCCGGATCCAGCAGCTTAAACTCATGTCAGGCATGTGTGCGTGCCCAAGATCCTGAGAGGAGAATGGAGGAGAAGGGATTGCGGCGTGGCCATCCCCCCTGGGGGGTGATTTCTTGCTTTTTGTCTCTGTCTCTCTCTGTCTGTCTGGTGAGCGCACGCGCCCTATAGCAAAAATCTCTCTCAAAAAAAAAAAAAAACACTATGGGGTGGGCCAGCAGGTGGCGTGGTGGTTAAAACACTGGATTCCCACATGGTCAACAGCAGTTTGAGTCCTGGATCTGGCTGCTTTGCTTTTTCTCTCTCTCTCTCGTGAGCATGCATGCCCTATGGCAAACTAAAACTAATGTTAATAATAATAAATGAAATTTTTTCTTTAGCAATTTTTGCTATAGGGCGCGTGCGCTCACCAGACAGACAGAGAGAGACAGAGAGACAGAAAACGAGAAATCACCCCCCAGGGGGGATGGCCACACCGCAATCCCTTCTCCTCCATTCTCCTCTCAGGATTTTGTGCATGCATACACACACGCACCCACCGTGAGTTTCAAGCCACCAGATCTCAGACTCAAACCACATTCGATCACATGGGAATCTAGCAACATAACCATTATGCCATCTGCTGGTCCCCCCATAAATACAACTTTTAAAACACACTACAGGGGGGACCAGCAGATGGCATAATGGCTATATCACTAGACTCCCACGTAGTTAACCATGGTTCGCATCCCGGACCCAGCGACTTAAGCTCACACCGGGCACGTGTGCGTGCATGCCCAAGATCCCGAGAGGAGAACGGAGGAGAAGGGATTGTGGCATGGTCATTCCACCTGGAGGGTGATTTCACGCTTTCTGTCTCTCTGTCTCTCAGTCTCTTTCGGGCAAGCGCACTCACCTTACAGGAAAAAACTCTCAAAATTAAAAAAAAAAAAAAAAAGCAAAGGGACCAGCAGTTAGCATAATGGCTATGTGGCTGAACTCCCATGTAGCCGACCGCGGTTCCAGTCCCGGACCTAGTGGTGTAAACTCACGCAGGGTGCATGTGCGTGCGTGCCCAAGATCCTAAGAGAATGGAGGAGAAGGGATTGCGGTGTGGCCATCCCCCCTGGGGGGAGATTTCTCACTTTCTGTCTCTGTCTCTCTCTGTCTTTCTGGCGAGCGCACATGCCCTATAGCAAAAACCGCTCCAAAAAAAAAAAAAATGTAGGGAACCAGCAGTTAGCGTAATGGCTATGTCGCTGGACTCCCATGTAGTCGACCGCAGTTCACATCCCGGACCCGGTGGCTTAAAA